TACGGGCGTGATGAATCAGTCAGCGAGGGCAAGTCTGCTTAATTAGCACAAATTGTATGTCTATAACACTATTTTGTCATCTGGGACAAAGGAAATGACAGGTACGTCATGCTTCCAGATTAGATCTTCAATTAATAGTTTCTTCCTCATTGACGAGAGCTATTGAAAGGACAACAATTGACAAAGGGCCCGGCATGCAGCATCTATATGACTGGCTTGAAAATTTACCGAGTCTTGCCGACGATGTGGTCGAACAATCGGAACAAGAAAAAAATTCTGTCGCATGATTTTGACATATGGACTAAATGTTTGAGCCCAGAAAAATTAATTTTATAAAATAATTTTTATGGTCGGATTGACTGGGCCCGTCGAAATGCTTGGCACATTACCGTATTATATGAGCCAGATTTTTATTTATTTATTTATTTTTTATTTATTTATTGAAAAAGTGGCAAATAACAAAATTGTATTCTGGGAATAAGCAAAGCTGCTTTAGAATCATTATATACAAATAAAGTGTTTGGTATTTCAGGAGTGGGAACAGAAAGCTGCTGCTGCTAAAGCTGAATATGAGAAGGCAATGGAGGCATACAAAGCAGCCAAAGCAGATGCAGATGAGGAAGACGAAGACTCTGAAAGGTGTGTTGTAATGTTACAGCCATGTCCCAACTAAAACAAAAAAAAAACATTGAATAACAAGAAGCATGTACCAGAGCTTACTTAACATGATTGAGGTGCAAATATTGAATTTGTAAGCATATCAACTAGCTAAAGTTTGATCAGCAATAACCTGTTTGATTACAGTCCAAAGGCCAAGAAGTCCAAGAGCCCAAAGAAAAGTTCAAGCAGCACAAAGAGCCCCAAGAAGGAAAGCAAGGCTGGGGCTGGGGGAGAGTACAAAAGTAAGGAGTTCATCTCCAGCTCTGAGGACTCCAGCACAGACAGTGATGATAAACCACTTAAAAAGAAAACCAAGACAGAAAAAGAGAAGAAGCCCAAGAAAGAGAAGGAAAAGAAAGAAAAGAAACAGAAGAAAAAGGAAGAATCTGAATCAGAAAATGAAGAGGTGTGATGCTTTAAAAAAATCAAGTCCTTATGTTTATGTTGAAGAGATTTAGGCATATTTCACTTCGTAGGAATTTCTAAACGCGTTTGGTAGATACAGGTATTTATGAAATAGTGGTACTAAGTAGGCCTTCCTGAACAGCATTGCAATTATTCTTCATTTTATATTGCTCCTAGACTGGTTAATGAATTTGAATTCTGCTTTTAAGACAATCTGTGTTCTGCCAGGTTGGTTAATTTGCTAATTTATATCTACAATTCTCCATTTCCAGCTTCCTGACGATGAGGAAATTCTCAGCACACCTCCTTCTTCTGGTGCAGGATCTGGGTCAGGTTCTGGATCTGATGACGATGAAGACGATGACTGAGTAAATTTTAGCATGCATCTACTTAGATATGTAAATTCTTCTGACCATTTGGAGATTTCCTGCATCACCAAACATTGTGTGATAGACAAAAAGAAAAAGTTAACACAGTTTTTGTGGCACAGTGTCATTATTGTTCTCACAAAGGGAAACTAAAAAGATTTGAGTGAACCAGTAAAAGTGAAATGATTTATCACACTGAACAAAGCCTGAATGGTTTCAGTTCCCTGGTATAAGATGGAGTGACTTTTGCCGTTGGGAGCATGATGAAAAACTGTAGTAGGAACATTTTCTTCAGTGCTATTATAAACAAAATCTGTCATTGTCTACGTACATTGACTTTTTGTAATCATTTTTGGACCATCAGTTGAGTATAGATCTGGAAGCTTATTAAATGTTACACAAATAAGGACACATTTTGTTTGTCTACCCCAATTTCCAGTTGCTTTTATTTACACAATCAGAAAACTTCATCTTGGCTTGACACTAATTATTGGCTAGAGTATTATGGACTATGTGGGGCATTTGCCACTGTCGCAAACATTAAAAATGCACCCATTTTCTTAGCACTTTTAAATCTCTAGTACTTGCTACCAAACGGGTTTTAAAGATCACTTCTTTCCACAGTATTTGAGCATTCCAAATACCTTTTAAAGGATGAAGCTTTCTTAAGTAAGTTAAAAGAACAAATCTCATGTATTGAAATTATTTGCCATCATTTTAGACTTCTGCAGTTAAAAAAAAAAATTTTTTTTTTCAATTTTCTTGTTAGTTTGTATGAATTTAAATGGTTCAACAGCTTCATTAGGTTATACCTGAGAAGTTGTGGATAAACATCTGTGGGTTAATAGTATTGGATTTTATGAGGAATGGACACGATTCAAAGCCACTATATCATCCGATTTCTTTAAGTGCTGTGGTGGAACTTATGATTAATAGAGGAACTTCTGCAAAATTTTAAAACCCTGCAGCCTTCCTTAACTAGAACTTTTTTGTTGCAACCATGTTATGACCCCACTCTATTGTGGCTGAAACAGTGGTATATTATGGTAACTACTTAAATTAACATAAGACAATCAACAACAAAAAAATCGTAAAAGTTAATGGTTTTGAAATGTTTAATTTTCCAATTATTTAAAACAAGATTGAATCACATGCAAAAAATTAAAATGCAGAAATTATACATTTCAAAAATCTCTTAATGTGAACCTTATAATTAAAACATTGCACAGTTAAAATACCTGAATTATTGCTGTGGTGGGATAAAAGACTGAATGATAAAATTAATGATTTAAAAGCAACCCTAAATGCCTTAAAAACAAAAGATATAACCAATTAACAAATCACAGTGTCATGGGAATGATTCAATTTGCACTACTCTCAGATGATGAAAAAAGTCGTTTAAAAATCGCAATCTATAATAATTGTTGGGTAAAAGACATAAAGATATTGAGATTGTCTAACAGTGTTTAACAGGACTGCCTCTATATAGCATTCGTAACTTAAGCTGAGAAGAAACCAAAGTCCACGCTGAAACTTTGGGTTGGCACGCACTTATCATAACTTGCACGTTACTTTAAGAAATATACTAAGCTCATAAAATTGTGCATTCAAACAAGCACTCCTACACCAGGCTGCCACTATAATTCAATATATTAAATGAGCAGAGCAAAACTATGTGCTCCAAATTAAAAGGAATTTTTTTTCTGGGTGAAAAAACATATTAACCAGTTTTCAGAATTCTCCAAGCAAGAGATGAGATGGGTCAGGTTTGTAATGGATTGTTGGTCAAGAATTCGGCCCATTTATTCAAAGAAGGTCATGTTCTGTTGTTTTATGGAGATTTTCATAATATATTTGATGTTGTCACCTTTCTGAAAAAAAAAAAAAGAAAATGAATGAAACTTCCACCTTTAAATAATTCTTTAGAAAACATCAAGATGGGAGAAAAAATACATCTGTTGAGAAAGTCGGTATTTTCAAAGAAATCTACTAACAGTACTGCAATCGTGATTAAAAACCTGGCAACTGGACAGAAGAACTTACATATACTAGTATACAGATATTAAAAATAGTAAAAATTGCAGAATCAAAAAAGACTAGGCAAAAAAAAGATAACAAAAATAGAAAAATGAATTTTCTTGAATATGTTCACAATTTTCATCTGATTACTGGAAAATGGATGTACACATGGTGTAACTTAAATTCAGTGCAAGAAGTTTAATTCAAAGCTTGGTTTCATTTACATTTTATCTTATTTTACTCACCTATCATCCCAAAAAGGGCATAACCTACTATCTTTCAGATCAGACACAATTTTTGCTTTAACTGTTAATTCTTCATTAAAATGACCATCTCTAGTTTCCAACCATTCTGGAGCATTTGGAGCATGGGCCTGTAATATTGTGTACATTATAAACATTATAATCCCAACTGAGAAAATGTTTATAGTTTTCTTTTTATTTATTTATTTTAGTGTCTCTTAAAACCTTCAATGCATAGTTCAATTTCATTTTGCTTTCTGAAACTGAAAACACGTTTACTTAAAATATTTAAAGCATATTTTGCACTTCTTCGCAGGCTCTGCTGCGTCTCTGTAAAGCTAAGATAAATAAACATCTCTTTCTGAAAAAAGGAAAAGCAAATGGAAAATTTGTTGACTTAAAATAAATTGTTCATTACAACAACCAAAAATTGAAAAAAAAAGTATAAAAATTTTAATATTCATGTGACCAGGTCATCATGTCATCAATGGAAACTTCCACCATGTACTCTAGGTCCCTGTGCCAAATCTAAATGGGAAAATGGAAACTACCCGCTAGCTGTGGTTTCGCCATCATGCGTGCCAGAAGGAATCGAAATAGGATTGGGTCAAAACATCTGACAGGAATGCCCTTAAACCTTGTTGTTTTATGAAAAGCATAGTGTATTTCAGGTATTTGAATCCCAAAACTGAATGATTTGTTTAGTTCACGTGTATGGGAGATCATACTTTGTACTGGAGTTAAAAACAGAAATGATGGTAATGCACAATAACCCGTTTCCTTCACCCATTAAAATTTGCGACGAAGAACAATTTTTGTATTTCTCTAGTGTGTCTGACTTAGTGATCCCTGAGATGACCAAAAAACATGACAATACTATTCGAAGCGCTTTCTTTTCTATAATGTAAAGCCGCAAAACAGACTGGTATGTCTGTGTCCCAGATTTAAGTGCTGTTTGAGTGTCATTTTCAGCTAAGAATTAAAAAAAATTGTTTGTTATAATAACACAAATCCATCCCCTTTCACTTGAAAGCACCCCCACTGTAATCCAACAAAGGAATATTTTGACAGACTTTCAAAGATGATAACCCACTGTTGTTACCCAGTTTTAAGCATCTGTGAAAAGACTTACTTTAATAAAAGCTATAATGATATCTTGATTGATATAGCTCATCAGCAGCTTGCAGCCATATGTAACTACAGCAAAGGGCTAAAAACATATCAGCAATTCTAAATTATGTATAAAAAANGTTGTCACCTTTCTGAAAAAAAAAAAAAAGAAAATGAATGAAACTTCCACCTTTAAATAATTCTTTAGAAAACATCAAGATGGGAGAAAAAATACATCTGTTGAGAAAGTTGGTATTTTCAAAGAAATCTACTAACAGTACTGCAATCGTGATTAAAAACCTGGCAACTGGACAGAAGAACTTACATATACTAGTATACAGATATTAAAAATAGTAAAAATTGTAGAATCAAAAAAGACTAGGCAAAAAAAAGATAACAAAAATAGAAAAATGAATTTTCTTGAATATGTTCACAATTTTCATCTGATTACTGGAAAATGGATGTACACATGGTGTAACTTAAATTCAGTGCAAGAAGTTTAATTCAAAGCTTGGTTTCATTTACATTTTATCTTATTTTACTCACCTATCATCCCAAAAAGGGCATAACCTACTATCTTTCAGATCAGACACAATTTTTGCTTTAACTGTTAATTCTTCATTAAAATGACCATCTCTAGTTTCCAACCATTCTGGAGCATTTGGAGCATGGGCCTGTAATATTGTGTACATTATAAACATTATAATCCCAACTGAGAAAATGTTTATAGTTTTCTTTTTATTTATTTATTTTAGTGTCTCTTAAAACCTTCAATGCATAGTTCAATTTCATTTTGCTTTCTGAAACTGAAAACACGTTTACTTAAAATATTTAAAGCATATTTTGCACTTCTTCGCAGGCTCTGCTGCGTCTCTGTAAAGCTAAGATAAATAAACATCTCTTTCTGAAAAAAGGAAAAGCAAATGGAAAATTTGTTGACTTAAAATAAATTGTTCATTACAACAACCAAAAATTGAAAAAAAAAGTATAAAAATTTTAATATTCATGTGACCAGGTCATCATGTCATCAATGGAAACTTCCACCATGTACTCTAGGTCCCTGTGCCAAATCTAAATGGGAAAATGGAAACTACCCGCTAGCTGTGGTTTCGCCATCATGCGTGCCAGAAGGAATCGAAATAGGATTGGGTCAAAACATCTGACAGGAATGCCCTTAAACCTTGTTGTTTTATGAAAAGCATAGTGTATTTCAGGTATTTGAATCCCAAAACTGAATGATTTGTTTAGTTCACGTGTATGGGAGATCATACTTTGTACTGGAGTTAAAAACAGAAATGATGGTAATGCACAATAACCCGTTTCCTTCACCCATTAAAATTTGCGACGAAGAACAATTTTTGTATTTCTCTAGTGTGTCTGACTTAGTGATCCCTGAGATGACCAAAAAACATGACAATACTATTCGAAGCGCTTTCTTTTCTATAATGTAAAGCCGCAAAACAGACTGGTATGTCTGTGTCCCAGATTTAAGTGCTGTTTGAGTGTCATTTTCAGCTAAGAATTAAAAAAAATTGTTTGTTATAATAACACAAATCCATCCCCTTTCACTTGAAAGCACCCCCACTGTAATCCAACAAAGGAATATTTTGACAGACTTTCAAAGATGATAACCCACTGTTGTTACCCAGTTTTAAGCATCTGTGAAAAGACTTACTTTAATAAAAGCTATAATGATATCTTGATTGATATAGCTCATCAGCAGCTTGCAGCCATATGTAACTACAGCAAAGGGCTAAAAACATATCAGCAATTCTAAATTATGTATAAAAAAACTGCAATTATACATAAAAGACAACAATAGCAATGAAACAGCAATGAAATATGTTTACCACTAGAATATTTTTTAACCCAGAAGATACATGTTGCTACTACTCTTGTGTATTTCAAAAATTGATAACAGAACTGGACTGGCATAATTAAGTGACACAGACAGATGCAGGTGATGGATAAAAACAACATATGAGCATACATGAAAAATGTGATTTTTCACTAAATATTTCAAAGTTTCCTATATGATATTACCCTTTCCTCTGGAAGGAATCTGTATGGTGTGATGATGTGTTTTCTCAGGCACGAGCGTGCAATGCTTTTGAACAGATCAATTACACCAGGTTCTGCACATGGGTGGTACAAAAACACTGCTGCCCCATGCTGAATGAAATGTAAAAAAAGGTAATAATAGGTATTGAGTAAATCCCTTACCCGTAATTAGTAAGTCCATTTTTAGATATGCAAGAAAAATAATAATAATAAAAATAACACATTAATTAATATTAATTAATAAAATAATAAGTAAATAAATCAAATTAAATTAAATAAATAAAAACTGCTAAAAAATGCCTAAGGAGAGTAAAGTGGCTAATTTGTGTCATTACTGAACTAAGCATTACATTTGTAAAGTTTCATGTTGAACTTCACCTACCTCTAGTGAGTGGACCCATCTCTGTGGTGGGAGGTATCTGTACTCTCCATACACTGGCCACAATGGGCGATGAGGACCACTGAAATTTACATACAATTTAAAAATAAATAAATAATAAATGTTATTAAGCCCAAGTAAAGTGTGAACATTTGAGGTAAATTTATCAGTCTAAGACAGATATAACAACATTTTTGGTACAAATCCCATTTTTTGAAAATGTTGTCAAAAGTATAATCATCTTCATTCATAATCCCAATTGCTATAATATATAAAAGGCTTTTAAATGTAGATTTTTAGTGTTATTAAACTTAGTTAAAATTTACTATAGGGGCACAAACTTTTGTTGCACAATACCCACATTTTATCAACTGTAACATATACAGAGAGAATATATGCAAAATCAACTCACTCTGTTGGTGGATGTTCTATATAAATTATTTCTTCATTAAGACATTTGTGTAAGGGCTGTAAAAAGGGAAAAAACAATGTTGAACAATACAGTAATAGGTTAAAATAATAATTTAAAAAGAATTACCAAAGCTTGTCCTGTGGTTGTAAAACATGCATTTTGTCAATATGGTAAGTTACAAAATGCCCAACAAAAAAAGTAAGCAAAAGAAGAAGAGGTAAACTTAACAAATATGATGATGTCACTTTATATATATATATATATATATATATATATATATATATATATATATATATATATATATCACAGCATCGAAACATCTGTGTATGCTCAAAAACATGCTGCTTGAACTAAACAAAATGTTGAAATTGACAAAGCCTGCCTGGGTTTACCATCTAGTTGATTTCATTTGCTTTCTGGTGTTGCTTTGAGAAAATATATTTGAAATGTTCTGCTGATTTATGTGTTAAAGGGCAACTCCATTTGGACTTTGCTTAGAATAACATTTATTTTGGCTTCATAATGAGGGGATTCCCATGTGCCAGAGTGAAAATGATATTGTAAAATGCATTTAAAATTTTAGGAAGGTAAATTTCAGGTAATGCTCTGAGGATTTTCCTATGCGTAGGTGAAATCAGCTGGTATAAAATTTTTAACTTCTACTTCCGTGTTCTGACTGACAGTTTTAATTTTTTCAAAAGCAAGGCAATGGTACCAAACAATTACGGTACAATTTGTAATCTCGTAAAAATTCGAATATTTTAAATATGATATAAAAAACTTCTTATACTTGCCCTATTTATTAGCTAAATTAACATTTTGTAGAATTTAGAGACCAAAAAATGCCAGGAATTGTCTAGTTGACCTGGTTCTCAGATCAATGTTTTGTCCCTGTGCCTATATCAGGGGTTTCCCCAGGATTTCAGGGAAAGGGAGTCCAAAATGTGAATCTGTAATTTGGTCATCGATCGACGATGCACTGGGGGTCCTGCCCAACCAACCAACCCCAAATATTTGTCAGCTGTCCAGCCATCTTTTGAAATATAGGCCATCTTTTAAGGCCATTGGCCCTCCAAATGACAGCTGGACGAATCTCGGGGAAAGACTTGATATATATATATATATATATATATATATAATTTGAGTAAGGAAGTGCCTCAAAAAATACACCTACATTTCACTGTATACTACCTTGTCTAACTTTTTTTTGCAAAATTCAACAGGAAGCACCTGAAAATGAAATAAATAAGTAAAACATCAAACTGTCAATTAAGTACTTCAGTCACTAAATCATAAGGTGATATGGCAATTTCAAAACATTCACTGAATTTTGTGTATTTTTGTACATTCACTCTCAAAACACACACACACACACACACACACACGCGCACGCTGGGTTGATCCAAAGAAATAAAAATGCACTACCTCTTTAAAGACAGGGAAAGGCTCTTGCAAAGGACAATGATATTCCACACTTGATCCATCCCAGTCTATTTTTATGCCATGCTGAAATAAACAAGCAGATGTCATGTTCTCAGAATATTTGTCTAGAAAAAAAAATACTCACCAAGCACAGGCATGCATTCAGACTTCATTTAGCAGTCTTCCACTTAGTTATATGCACAGATATTGAACCACATTTTTATTATTATTATAAAATTGCTTAGCAAAATCATAATAAATAAATAAATAAATAAATAAATAAATAAATAAATAAATAAAATAATAATAAATTTGCATGACAGTTTTTTAAAAGGCCTTCTTTGTACACATCTACCCCAGCTATACATTTATGTTTTTCAAGATGCACCTGCTGTACAGATGACATACCAACATCTACTTGTCACTTCTGCAAATTTATCCCAAACAGTTGGATCAAATTTAAAATACATAAATAGACAAGGTATTGTTCATGCACCTATATTTTATGAAAATCCCTTTTATTTGCGCACGTTAAAAATTGCTTTACAAACATTTTATATAGAGGGAGGATAACAATACATCCAATAACAATGCATTAAGGTCACAATTATAACAATGACAGGGTGGAAGGTTCATTGTATCTCACCATTTGCTTTATATTCATGTTGACCCCTGCATAGCCCTAAGCAGTATAATACCGGATACAAGTATACAGCACAACATAAATAGTGTACAATTTACCTTGCCATCATCACAGCCGTATTTGCTGACACCCATTGCAATACCACCATGTTTGTCATCTCTTTGTGCAGCATATGTTGGTATTAAAGAACATGTTGTAAAACATGCTGCAGCTGTTATTGTTAGATGGAAGAGTCGCCCATTCAGCATTTTGACGTCTGCTATAGAGTAATGAAAATCACCTTGAAAAAGTATGCATTTCATGTGTGATATTGCATAGATTAGATTATTACAACTCAGAGCCATAGCCCAGATGGTAAATATATATGGAAAATATATATCAATATGACATACTGTAATTCTTGATACGTCAAAAAAAGTTCAATCTATTTTACGTCTAAAATTTGTTATCAACTTTCATTATCTAGCTGTCAATTTCAAACAGTTATTTCTACAATAGTCTTGTCGTATCGGTTGTCATATGGAACTGGCACAGCCACTAGAACGAGTCCATCATATTATTGATCAATATTTAATTATACATACCCTGTTAGGCAAGAAGCCGAGCCTCTACAAGACTGGAAGATGAGGGCACCATAGTATACTTCACCCTGACGTGACAGTCACGTAGAGATTCAACCTGTCAACAGATGGCGCTGACTTACCACGCAACACAGCACGCTGATTTTCAATGCAAAGTGGTGAAAATTTTTTAAGAATTAGTGTCAGCGGCGGATATTTTTAAAATGAAAAAAATTGGACTTTGCTTAAAGAGGGTGTTTTCCAAGTGTGTCTGTAAAGATGTTGTCTTTGAGCCAGGAGAAATTTAAATGAGGGAGCACTCAAATTATTTTTTATCATTTTAAAGTAAGACCGTAGGTCTAGGCCTAGTTTTTGTTTGAACTTTGGCCTGTATGTTATGTCTATATATAGCCAATTATGGGGGTATTTAGGCCCTAGTGGGCCTAGTCCGATAGGTTACCGTCGTAGTCAGTAAGACCAACAGGCCCTACAGTGTATAATGATACACATTTCACTGTCATCAGGACAATACCATTTTAATTAAAATTTAAAAATCGAAACATAATGATATTCTGTTAGGTGTGTAATCAGGTGGCCAATACATTCGTTAACATATGAACATGAATGTAGTGCAAAACGTTTGTAAAATAGCTTAAATATTGTTACTGATTATATTTTATTCCTATAAAGTATAAAACTGTCAACAAGTATGGAAGCAATTCTCACAGGTCGTCACCTACGTGGATAGACTATATAGATTAGTGTATAAAGGTGTTGTTTGAGTATGATCAAAAGAAAAAATTCAGCCGACGGCTAAATTAAGCCATTCAGCTGGTGTCTGCTGGGGCCAGGGGCGTCTCGATAATTTGGTTCATTGGTCCGAAAAATCGTTTGAACGCGCCTCTGATGAACTTTTCCTTGTTGCCAGCTTGAACATAATAGCGAATTTTGTCCATATTGTCAGTAAACTTTACACTTTGCAGGCCCGTAGCCAGCAATTTAAAATGGGGGGTTCGTTTTCTGAAAAAGTGGGCCTTTTACCATAAAACCTTCATGTGCCGAGATCAAATTTTATCCAGAGTGGACCTTTTTCCCCAGCAAAAAGGGCGGTTCTCTCGAACCCCCGAACCCCCCACTGGCTACGGGCCTGCTTTGTTTGTGTATACTTTGTAAAAAAAAGGCATTTCAGTAAATAAAGACTCAGACACATCTTCTAGCAATCAGTTTCTTTCTTCGCTACCACATCGTAGTAGACTAGAAAGGGAGAGACATTAGCTGCACCAACATAGAAAACCAGTTAAATGCCTGAAAAGGCCACAGATAGTGACAAATAGTGTGACCTAGTAAGACGGGCCTTATGGCGTGTTCAAGCAGTAGAATATCACTCCTTGCAGCAAGGATTACTTTTACAAAGAGTAAGTATTTTATGAAAAGTAGAATTGCACTTGACTGTGTGTGTGTTTATGTGCGTGTGGGAACGGGGGGGGGGGTGTATGTGTAGTATTTAGAACAGAAGCGAAACGCAGTTGAAAAACGGATTAATTTTTGAGTATACTTATAGTAGAGCTACCGTTTATGTGCGTGGGCAGTTGATGATACGTAGACTGAATTTTCGCTCCCCAGCATCCCCATTTTATGTATTATACGGGTTTACCCATGCAATTCGAGAATATCCCTTGGGGGTAAGATTCATTTATTTATTTTTTACACCTCTACTTTATCCACTTGGAGTCTGGGCGTTATTATAAGTTGTTTTTTTTGATGATGCAGATAGAAAACTTTCATTTTTTACCCACATTTCATTATTTATTGTTTTAATACATTGAAATGTTGCAATTAAAAAAAAAAAACATGATTAAAGGAATGTATAAATCTATTCATTATGGTGGGAAAATATTTTTTTCTTTTCACTTTAGGAAATGTTATGATGATTAAAGTTATAACAAAATAAAAAAATGAAATGACTCTTTCCTTTCTTTTTGTTGTACCGGGTACTACATTTGTTTCACCCAAATAATATGAATTGAATTAAACAGCATTAGTTTTCCATTATTTGTATTCATATATATATATGCAGGCCCGTAGCCAACAATTTCAAAAGGGGGGTTCTTTTTCCGAAAAAGTGGACCTTTTACAATGAATCCTTAGTGCGCATAGATCAAAATTTACCCGATTAGACCTTTTCCTGACAAAAAGGGCAGTTCTTTCAAACTCCCCGAACCCCCCCCCCCCCAGGCTAGGGGCCTGATATGTGTGTGTGTGTTTGTGTGTGTGTGTGTGTGTTCAAACTTATTCCATATGAAGCTGAAATTTTTATCAAAATTTGATAAGAATTTTTGAGACTTGGTTCCCATACCTAGATTGATCTAACAGGATCAATCCATCTCCAATGGGTTTCTCGCTAAATTGCTTTCAGCTTTAGCGGCTTATATGTTTGGCATGCCTACTGAAACTTTTAAAGGATAGTTAATTACCCTTAACAGCTTCAGTAGGCATGCCAGACATCTAAGCCTCTTAAGTTGATTGCAATTTATCGAGAATTCCCTTGAAGATAGATTGATCCATAGTTGGCACGACAGGGTCTGGGAATGGTCCCTTAGATATCTTGCTCACTAAACTGCTAACAGACCAACTAATGCCATAGAAAACTAGAAAAGCACTCCGAGAGCGCAGACCTCCACCAAGGCAGCGTTTTTTTATTATTATGGATTATTGATTGATTATTGATCCAGATCACCACCAAAAACTAATCATCTTCTGACAGTTCCTGAAAATTTCATCAAAATCAGTCCATAACTTTTTGAGTTATGTTGATGACAGACAGACAAACAAACAAACAAACAGACAAACAGGGGTGAAAGAATAATCTCCTTGGCGGAGGTAATAAAACCTGCCGTGGCAGAGTTAATGGTCATTTTTATTGTCATCATTATTAGAATTGGAATATGGGCACCATTAAATGTTGGGAATTGTTCATTTTCCAGCTGCATCTAATTATACAATAAAGTTCATGGTGGCCAATTCAGTGAAATTGATTCACATAGCTTTAACAGCTTATATATATATATATATATATATATTGAAAGTAAAAGCGTTTTTCCTGTACGAGTATATATATATATATATATATATATATATATATATATATATATATATATATATATGTGACAAAAAGAAATAAAAAAAAGCACTTATTTTACCTCTAAAGTCTAAATCCCAGACAATGCATATTCTGTATTACAGCTGCTGGCCAGTCTTTTGCCAGGAACCAACAATGTTATTTCTGCAGTGGAGCACCAGACCATGGGAAAACAACACCATTAAGAGTATGTCTATGTATTATGATAACACTTTTAACAAAGACATAATCCACCTCAAAGTTACAATTTATGTTGTGATATTTTTGTGTCATAAAAAAAGGTCAAGAGCATTTACAGTTTTAATTTGTTTTTCCATGATGTGTTTTGAATGGTAATGCCTCTAATTGTAATATGAATTAGGAAATGAGAAATCTACTGGTATCATATTATTTGTAACTTTGTATGTGTATTTATTTTTTCTCTTTCTCTCTCCCATTCTCTCTCTAACGATATTATGTTTTTTTCTGGACATGAGGTTATAAGGGCTCTCCACAGTAACAGTTGATTCTCTTCTTTTTTCCTTTTTTTGTCTTCTGTCATTTATTTATTCATTGATTTTTATATTTGAAGTATAATGGAAATTATATATTGATTATAATTACCTGTAAACATTCTTATTTTCACTTAAATAATTTGCAATTTTCTTTGATTTTGCCATTATATCTATTCATCCTAACCTTTATGGTTTTCTAAGATTATTATTATTTTGATTATGGTTAATAATAATAATAATATAATAATAATAATAATAATAATAATAATAATAATAATAATAATAATAATATATTTATTTCAAGTCCAAAACTATAAAATGTTCAATAGACTGTACAACATAAAATACAAAGAAGTTTATAGATAAAAATGGTTAAGATATATTTTATATAAATAGGAGCTAAACTAACTTAATTGTAATAAACAGTAATTAAAAGTAAAAAATCCAAGGTTTCTTTAAAATTATAAAATTTAAGATTCATGAATAAAATGTCTTTAAAATATGAGTTTTTAATTCCTTTTTAAAAGATTCTTGTGATTCTATTTGTCTAATAAAAATTGGCAACTTATTCCACTCTACTGGTGCAGCTACACAAAATGATATGTCACCATATGATTTTAACCTTGATTTTGGAACTTTCAGTAAAAGTTTGTCACCAGACCTCAGGGATCTTTGAAGGCTATAATGTTTGACTAAATCAGTTATATATGGTGGAGCTAGATTATAAAAAGCAGCATGTGTAAAAACTAAAACCTTAAATAAAATTCTGGCCCTAACTGGTAACCAGTGCAGATGCTTTATATGGCAATCCCTAGGCTGTAGCATTAAAAGCCGTGCTGATATATTCTGGATACGTTGTAATCTTTTGATCTTATCATCTGGACATCCATATAATATAGAATTGCAATAGTCTAGCCTGGAAGTTACCAATGAGTGTATAACAGTAGCAGCAGCAGATTGATTCAGATGTTTCCTTATGGTGCCAATATTCCGAATGTTGAATAAACAAGACCTTGTGATGTTGGAGATCTGTTTGTCCATTGAAAGTGTAGAATCAAAGTATACTCCTAAATTTTTTACATGGGGGGAGGAAAATGCCATACTAGCTCCAATTTTAAGTTGCAAGTTATGAGCAAGGCCCTTGTTGTGGGGTTGAGTAATGACTAAAAATTCTGTTTTTCCATCATTTATCTTCAATTTGTTTGAAATGAGCCAACCTCTCAGATCTGATATGCAATCAACAATTGTGTTCACAGACAATGCTGGATCATGGATGTTACAAGATGTGTACAACTGGGTATCATCGGCATAAAAGTGGTAACCTATCTTATGATAACGCAGAATTGCTCCAAGGGGTAAGGTGTAAACACAAAACTTAAGCGGGCCAAGCACGCTCCCCTGAGGAACACCAAATAAAAGCTGTGAGAGTTCAGAAAGCACACCATTTATATTAACTTGATGCATTCTCCCAACAAGATAGGATCGTAAAAGATCTAAGGCCTTATCTCTAACCCCTACACTCTGCTCTAGAAATGTCAATAAAATATTATGGTCTACTGTGTCAAACGCAGCAGACAAATCTAACAGTACCAATAACATAGCAGAATGTTTGTCAACACCACTTAACAAATCATTTTTAATTCTCAAAAGTGCAGATTCTGTGCTATGATTGAATTTGTAGGCTGACTGCATTTCCTCAACAAGATTGTTTGCTTCTAAATGCTTAAATAGTCTAACTGCTATAACCCTTTCTACTACCCTAGATAAAAATGACAAATTGGAAACAGGACGATAGTTTACCAAAAGATCTGTGTCAAGGTTGTCTTTTTTGAGTAGTGGGCGAATTATTGCAGATTTGAACTTTTTTGGAAAAACACCCACAGTGAAACATTTGTTGATAATTTCCACAATCAAAGTTATTACAGCCGGAAGAATCTGAACCAATAATGATGATGGGATCGGGTCTAACATGCATGATGTCTTTTTGGAACTGTTTATTATCTTTGTTACTTCACAAGTGGTTGTTGGTTCAAATATAGTGATGAGTGACTGCGGTTCTTGTAAAAGTTCTGACAAAGGTGGATGCGATGGTGTAGTCACAGTCTTTCCTAATTCAGAAAGTTCAGCGTTGATATTACTGACTTTAGACACGGAAAAGTCACTCATGTTATTTGCAAGATCTTTCACTGAATCTGTTTTGGGGTACTTAGAGCAATTAGTTTTTCCCAGAATAGTGTTGACAGTTCTAAATAAAGCCTTAATGGTATCACCATCACATTCTTGTATCATGTTAGAATAATACGTTTCTTTAGCTTGACAGATTAATTTGTTTACATGACAACATGCTTCTTTATAGATCTGATGATGGACAGTTAATTTACTACCTCGCCACTTCCTCTCCGCTTTCCTTCTGTCTCTCTTTGCCTCCAGAATGTGATCATTCATCCAAGGTTGCAGATCTTTCTTAACAAACGTTTTAGTTTTGACAGGTGCAAGGTTGTCAAGTGCAGTTGTCAATGTCCTGTCATACAGAAGCACACATTCCTCAGGACTCAAATTATCAAAACTTAAATCACCCAGCTGTGATGTAATCTGTCGTTGTAATTCATTTACATCAATGCCCTTGATTTTTTCTGAACGAGACTTTCTCCTTACTGGGGTGCGGTCTGCCACATCTAAGCGTGGTGTAATAATAATAATGATAATAATAAAATGTTTGTAAGATGCCCATGTGGCAGGCAAATGTGTGAATATCTATACCTGTTTTCGTTGATACCTCAAAATTACCTTCTAAATGGGAATGATATTTGAAAAGCATTCAAATTTTAATTTTAATTAACATTATTAACATTAAATATTTAGAAATATTGCAATTTAAGAGACCCAACTTGAACAGTTTTCAATTAGCTTGTTTTTTTTCAGTGTGTGTCACCATCCTAAGTTGATAGATGAGTAGATATCTTAGGTATCAATAATTATAATTAGTTTCTTGATTGAAATTGATAAAACAGGAGCTTATTTCAGAAAACCACAAAATTAAAGACAATGCTGGAGTCATCAGAGTTGGAATTCTTAATGGAAGCACATAATGGCCTCACTGCTAAAGTGGTACAGGAAACAGGTAACAGCTCTAATATAGTGTGTTGAAGTTATTGAGAAGTAATTTATAGATAAAATATTTGTAGACTGTCGCTGTTAAAATGACTATTGCTTATTTGTTGTCATATTCTTGACTAAATTTGTTTTAGAATGGAGGAATAAGAACAATTTATAATTTTAGATCCTAAGTTTTAATCTACACATAATGACATTGTATATAATGCTGAGACAATGTGGAGTGCAGTTTTAAAGAACTCTTCATTTTTATTATTAATAATAATAATAATATTATTATTATTATTATTATTATGATTTCAGGTATATGTATGACTTATCCCTCATCATTTTACAACAATCTCAGATGATATTTTAACACATACAAATTTTTATTTTGTAATGTGAGATCTTTTTTAAGATATCTAGCACATGCATATATCAACAAGTGAGAATATTGGTCAAAACCTATATACTGGTAAAGTAGTTTGGGCTAATATAACAGCTGAAGATTAATCACTATGTCCTCATGTCTGAAACAGCTTTAATCGATGAAAACGAAAACTTCATTTATTTTCAGATTATCTCATGCAAACACATTTAATTTTGGTGCTAAATCTCCTTATCAGTTGGTGCCAAGACTTTGAGAGTTGATTAAACAATGTTACATGATTTTAAAGCTCGAGTCCCTCATTCGATTTTGAATGTTAGTTATAATGGTATTTATGCACCACAGTAAGGGAAAGTTTTGAAATAAATTTGTTTGGTTAATCAGTGAAGTTCCTAAGATGCTTGAGAGTAAATGCAATGTACAAGAAAATCATATTGATAATCCAGGTGTTTCAAGCAGTATGTTTTTCTACAACTGCACGATCCCACAAATATAGTTAACAAAGAAATATTTGGATTGGCACGTTTTAATACTTCATAGAGACTGCTGACTGTAGGCCTGTTTGTCCACCATCAAGTTAATGTGTTGTTGTTAATAAGTACATTAATTTTTTTTTTACTAGTATAGTTAATTGAAGTTGGAGAATGCATATTCTTGCCATGTAAAAAGTAAGTACCATATGTATGTTACTTCCATGGCAAGGATATGCATTCTCAGATTGAATCAAACCAACATCAGAGCCCCTTATTACATGTAATTAATTAAAAGTCCTCCTAGCCTTATCTGACCTGACCTTAGATCTAACTTGTTTAACTTGTACCAGCTACTGGTAGTAGACAGATAAAGTCTGTTATAATTTATTGAATGCTGATATATAGACTGGACAACTAGAGGTAAAGGTGACGTTGATCCATTTGTCTGCTGACATTGTTTTCAAGGCATCTCACATAAGATTTCTCTAATGTACCTGTACTTTTCTTCTGAGATGTAGGTTTCTTTCAGACATCATCAGAATGTGAATTTTAACCCAGTATTTCTTATGAATTTATCAGCTTTAGTCAGTCTGGAATATCATTCTGTTTTGTTAACTTTANAAACTATTCTGCAAATTCACCATACCATACAGTATGTAAAAAGAAAAAAAATAAGAAAAAAATAAGGTAATTATGTCATACTTAAACTCATTTGCTTTTGAGTTTTTTTTTTAGTGTAAGGAACACAAACCCACCAGGTGCTTGAGTTGATTTCTTCTTTAGTGTCTCTTTGGACAGTGTAGTCAGCACTGTCTTCATAGCACCAACTCTTGGGAGTGTTACATGTTCCAGTATTGGAAAATTATTCTTCTGTCCAAATCTTAAAGATAACAATGAGACAACTAGTAACATATATGTAGGTAAGTAAAAAATGTTTAGTTGTATGGCTATTACTGAATGAAGAAAAAATATTTTTTTCAAACTGATAATGATAGCACCTCAATCTTTTAAGTATTTAAAAATACTAAAATTTAAACTGGGAGGCATGAAAAAGTTTTAAAGTGGAATATGAGAAGGCCCATTCTAAATGAGCAATCAACTAATTCTATGCATTTCAGAATTCTTTACCAAAATACTGAATTAAACATTTAATCAAACGTACATCTGGCTCCCTTGTCTTCGTTTTCTTAAAAAGCCACCTTCTGGAAACAGTAAAATCCATTTCCTGTCTCTAGTGAGGTAAGTCTTCTCAATGTGCTCCTGCAGCTTGTCCAACATTGTATTTCTATGTTCTTTTCCCTAATAAAAAATAAAACAGCATTTTTTTTGGAAAATGTTATTTCATATTTCATTGGTATTATCCTCTAGATTGCTTGTAAGACTTGGTTGATTAGTATAGAGGGACATTTTTCATTCTAATACAATGGTCATGTATGGTATACTTGCAATGGTCAAATGTATGGCATACTCTAGTGTAAGTTTCTAATTTAACCCAAATTTACCTGTACCACTAAAACCTTTCTTTTGCATTGACAATTTTTTGTACTAAATAATGCTCTGTCCATATATATATATATATATATATATATATATATATATATATATATATATATGATAGCATGCCGAGCAATAGTGAGGCACACTATTGTGTATATCGGGCTAGGGGGTAGCAGTACATTATTTGTCATACATACAAAGGAAAATCCTACGTTTCTCACCCAGAAACCCTAATTTTGAATAGAATATACTGACATCACCACGCATAGGTTGATATCAGCCTTTATACCTCCATATTCAGAAACACTTTTTTATGTAAATGCACACCTGTAAAATAAAGAAATCCCCATGACTGGCTGATACCACCCCAAAGTTGGTGTACTTGAAAATCAGATCCTGTATCCACATCATATGCCTTACAGCCTTTCCTTTGTGCTGCAGGGCATGCATCATGGTGGGCACATCAGCTGTGGACTGGTGGTTTACAATGACCAGAGCCTCTTCATTGTAAGCTGGGGACACATTCTCTCCCACTTCTACAACTATGAAATTTATCATAAACTTTAAACTAGTGGTTTCATTCAATGTGCACTACAGAAACAATACAAGCCATAGAATAAACATAACAGTATCACTTAATCGAGGCAGAAATGAAAGTGAACCTTGATGAATAATTCATCAGTGATTATTATTTGCCATACCACATATACTATATATATATATATATATATATATATATATATATAACAAAACTAGATTTACTCAGTAAAATATATTTTCCTTGTGGAATTCAATTTCTCCTGTCCATAACACTTATCATTATTTTTCTTAGCAATCAAGTTCTTGACAGCAACATGTTAGCCAAGGATCAAGCTTTTGTCTGTCTTCAATTTGATGGTAAATATTATATTACAACCAGGAAAATGTATAATATCAGTATATTAGGAAGGAAATATTTAGGAGAGTCTCTACGACTACAGTTTTGAAATCCAGTGCCATTAGTACAGATAGATCTTACCACGATAGCCTGCAGTTGTCATCCAGCAAGTTACCATAGCAAGCAGCCACTTAAATAACACTCCTTCGATGTACCAATACAAATCTGGTCTGATAAATCTTAGTGGTGAAAAGCAAAACATCCACACCACGTAAGCTGGGATGCAGTACAAATTGTTGATGAGGACATAAAGTGCTCTGATTATGCATTTTCCAATCAGATATGGAGTCCACTGAACTGGGTCACTTGTTTTTCTGTTCAGTTCCATAACTCTGAGTAGAGTTCCCAGGCATCAATCTCTTCCTTTTGATAACTTACTTTTAGCTGTTCCACGACATTATTCTGAAACTAATTAAAGAAGAGCAAGTAGGTTATCTACTTAAATAGATGATAAATGCAAGTTATCAATTTTCTTTCCTTTCCTTGCATGAAACGTAGCTTAATAACAATTTGCTAATACTACTTGTAGTACTGACAAATAAGGAATTTTACAGTGCATATATTGGAGTTGGAAAAAATCAATATGCACTGTATTTTGTCACCACCACTGCTGACTGTAAGTATTAAAGTAGCATGGATACTTTTCCTACATTACTGTACATACACAGAGTCTATGCAGTATCTGCATGCAGGCTTCACGTACTGCATTTTTTAAAATCTACAATCGACTCGTTTTGAGGAAAATGACAGCCTTGAAGTCACTGTATTACTAATAATCATTCAAAATAAACAAAATGACTTACAAATCACCCCAAATGAACTTACGCAGGAGATGCATGTACTTATTCACTGAACATAGAGAGCTCGCCTACAGCAATCTGGGTATAAAGTCTCACTCTAAAGATAAGGATTAACATGAAAGCACACTGAATGCATGCAGAAAGTGCATGTGTTTCAAATGTTCAAAGAATTGAAAACAGGGATAGTTTCGTATCTTTCAACGCTGCATATACAACAATCTTTGATACGTTGGTTTTTAAATGGGATAATTCAAATCAATTTTATTCAACTCACACACGAAATAGAAAATACTGTGTGTTTTACCTAAAGAACTAAGCTTCGAAAATTTATAAAGAATAAAGAATAACATACACGTTATAAATAGGTCAAACCCCAGGTCAAAGCGTGGATTTGCATTGCTAGAGGTACACAACTCTCTTCAAGGCTACTCCCGGTCCTTACAGGTGTGCAACTTGTCAACAGGAGCCGTTGCGCTAGAACAGACTACTTTACCTTAGCCAATATAAAACATGAGCATACAGTCCGAGGTAATTATTTGTTTATTAGCAATAGTTAGATATTTTGCTCACAAGAAAAAATCTTGCAGCTGCTGGAAAGTTTACTTTACGCATTTTGCATTTTTTTTAAAAACCGTTTCTACGTCTTTATTTTTTAAATGATGTTTTGTGCTAGGGTGAATCGTATTGCGTACACGTATTACTGGTACTTATATCAATAATGTGCCCTGTAATGGGAGTGACAGTATACTCAGGCGAAATTGTAAGTTTTTAAAGATTGCAGTATAAAACATTGTAAATGTTATACAGCTACATGTGGTTTGATTTTTAGAATTAATATCTAATAGTGCTGTGACAATTTGATAAAATATAGAACGAGACATGTCAAAATTTGAAGTAATTTAACTCTATATTGATTAAAGCGTTATGTTAATAACCCAAGAAATTTAAAATGCTCTTTCAATGTAAATGTTTCTTATTATTAGGTGCAATATTTAGTTGTTTTTTTTTTTGGTCATTGTTTTTTTTTTTAATTATTTGGAGCACTTGTTGACATTTTTAATCTTCAACTAATTGATTGCAGTCAAAGCAACATATATTTCAGAGTTTTATTTTTTCAGATAAAAGTTTAAGTTTTTACGCACAGATATTTTCTTTATCTTGCAATTATTTGCAAAATGATCTTAACTCCATCTTATCATTGAGTGTAAACAAAGAGCTGAGAAAACTTTATGATGTCAGGACACCAAAATGGAAAAAAGAAATATATGGTTTAACATTGATATGAAACTTATTTGAATTCTGCAGGCAGGGTTTCGCATTGAAAAGGATGCCTTTGGAGAGATATCAGTTCCTAAAAACAAATATTATGGAGCAGGAACAGCTAGGTCTATCTATCATTTTGATATTGGAGGAGTGACAGAAAGAATGCCAGTAAGACTTTTATATTTTCATCAAAATTTTCATCAATTAACAAAAAATGAGTCTAAAATATATAAAGGAAGAACCTTCAATTGAAGGAGGATGTTAATATCTTTAGTTTTGGGTTTTCTTACTGAGACTAAGGAATTATAAAATAATTTCTTGCCTAGACTTAGAGGTAGATGTAATTAAGACTGTGTGCCACCTCGTGTGCTATTTATAATCTTTTTTTTTTTTTGCCCTGAAAACTGATGACACCTAACATCCATTTGTTCTTAGATACTGTAGAATCTAGATGTGAGAAGTCTGGTAATTATACTGTATGTAAAAGTTATTATATTTGTTTTTTTAATTCAATTTTAGATCCCAATTATACGTGCTTATGCCATTTTAAAGAAAGCAGCTGCTGTTATCAACATGGAATATGGATTGGATCCAAGAGCTTCTGAGGCAATAGTACAGGCTGCTGAAGAGGTATGGTATCTGCAGTAGGAGGAATTTAAAATATACTGTCAGTTAAGAATATATATAGCTAAGAAAAACTATATATTTTGTAGATTTTATCTGCTGTGATACCAAAGTGTAGATGGTGAAAGACAAATAAAGAATGTATGCAATTATGAATCAGTGTTCTCAATAATTGTTTTAAAATCCGAGTCCATGGGACTCACATGTTTGACAAAATGTGAGTCCCATGTAAATTTTCCGAGTCCTTCTCTTGAAGAAGAAAAAAAAATAAGCACCATCTAGAATTGCACAAATGTGTTTATTGAAATACATGTAACAGGTCAAAATTATGTAAAAATATAGCAAAATAAAAATATAACATCTTACAAAACATCTTTTTAAAAATAAAATTCTGCAGACTCATTGTACCAGGACTAGTCTACTAGAGAACGAAACTCAGTAAGTTTCTGTCAAATAAAACCAGTACTTTTCTGTTTTAGAAATATTGACTTTAAAACTACTTTGAATGCTTCCAAGATCATTTACAGTACGGTAATGACTCGATCTTTTCAATGGGGAAAAATTACAAATTTTTCAACGATGTAAATTTTATATCATGAAAATATATTTCTGTGTAGCATTTGTGGCTCTTTTTCTGTACAGAATAGAACAAAAAGGCAGCCTGCTTTTCAGTTTTGTAGCTACCATTCAATAGTTATGTTCTGATTTTAAGAAAATGTGACTTAAAAAATACAGCATCTGTAAAATTTGCAATTTTTACCCATATTCATTGCCTTCTCTGTCGGATGGCTCGAAACTTGAGTTTAGACTGTGTGTAATCAAATTCAGAAAAATGCGGACCATTTATTGTTATCTTCATAATATTCTGCAGCTGTGCCTCACTAAGTCGGTTCCTACATTTGGACTTATTTAGGTTTTGGGCAGAAAAANTTTTTTTTAGCATGGGACTGCGCCATTTTGAGACATTACAACCACCTGCATTCGGCACACCTCGGTCTTTTTCGTCAGGGATAACCTCGGCCGTAATGAGCGCCATTTTGCGTATTGCGTCATTCGGTAGATGGCGCACTAAGTGACGTGACAGGCCCAGCAAACTGCCAAACACGGTGTGTTTTTGTAAATTAATACGCTAGTTTCACCAATCACATCACTCATTCTGTATAATTTCCGTGGTCACTAAGATAATCATCCCTTTCAGTTGTTTTTTTTATCTCTCCCACTAATCACCCGCCTAAACAGGACCGCATTTTTTTTCGTCCCTGGGACGAAAGGGTGTTGATTATTTTACGTCCTTTTTAATTTCATTGCGTTTTTTACATATTGGGACGCCGTAAATGAGAACACTGAATTGAAAGTATATTTTTTAATGTCTTATGGAATTTTAAAGGTGATTGAATGCTAGTAAATAAGATCAGAGTTAGGCGAGATCATCATTACTCTTATGGTTTTTTTTTTTTTTTTTTTTTTTTGCTTTATCTCTCTTGAAGCTTTGTATGTCCATTACTGAAAAAAGGCACATGATTACTTACTCGAGGTAAAGGTTTACTGGAGTATCTATTTCAATGTACAGAGGGATTCCAAAGAATGTCAGGTACCTAGGCTAGTAAAACCTTGGCCGAAACCGGCAACTTTCCATAGATGTTATTTCCATTATCTGCAATTTATGTCTAAGCCACCATTAATATTAAACAGTTGTGTTAATTAAGTTACAGTCAAGTCCCTGTTCAATTTCAGGATTTTGTACCTTGTCACTTGTGATGTTATCAGAATTATAACTTTTGCTTTGCATCAAACTTCTTACTGAACTGCATATATACATGTAACTCTATTGAAGATTGAAGATTTTCCTAGTGCTAAGTGTGGTGTGTAGTTTTGGGGTCAACCTGTAAGCTACCAATATGTACTGGAGGAGCTTTGAAGGGCATGTATGTTTTTTCTTCAGTGAATAAACTAAGCTTGTATTCAAGGTCACATATTTGATATTGAATGTCCTTGTACCATGCAGACATTCCATGTTGACCTACTTTGATGTAAGCATTACCTGTCTGTCACTAACAATATGGGCCTTCATGTAATATGCAAAGGATTATTTCAAGTTTTGTGTGCAAAGACATATTTATGTTGAGTGACGCCAACTTGACAGTCTTGAATGGTCTTTTTTATTTTCATGTACCGGTACATGTTAGTATTTTTTTATTTGCTTTGGATTTCAGCATGAATTAATTGCTGAAGACTATTGTTAAAACTGGTATTGTAAAGTTTTGGCATTGAAAAATTTAATATATTGCCACCAGAGACTTCATCCTAACTTAAATATAACCTGATTTCTGTCATTCATATTCCCAAATTACACATTTTGAAAAATGATTTATATTCTTGATTGCTGACTATGTAGGCATGCAGAATTCCTATGTGGGCCATTGCATCAAAACAGATCATGAAGCAAAATGACTTCAGCTGTTAAATTGACTGATATCTGATGTATGTGGTTATTGATTCTGAAAATTGTTTCCTGAAAGTCAAGCTAATTTATTTACCAAATATAGTTGTTAGTAAGAAGTGTTAGTAGTGAAAAATATTAGTAGTGGGAGTGGTACAGTGATCTTATATATAGTATTTTAATATTTTAATTTTGATA